CCCCCCCCCCCGCGCCATCCCGCGAGGATGAAAAGTTGCGGGACGGGGGGCGCGAGCCGCGTGTCGGCGACGCCCGCGCGGGACCCGCGTGCGCCGCGCGCGCGGTGCTGCTTAAAACCCGCCCGAGGGAACCTGCCGTGACGCGGGGCGCTAAAAATAGCAGTTTTCGTAGTAGCGGCGGCGGCGCGCGGGAGCCCGCGGCGTGCGGGAGCGCGCGGGGCGCCGGCGGCTCCGGCCCTTATCGGGCGGGCGCAGCCGGGCCCGCGGCCGCGCGGGGTGTCCCGCGCTCGGCGGCGGGCGGGCAGCGCTTATCTCGCTTATCCCCGCAGGCCGGGAGCGGCGGCGGGTCGGGGCCCCCCCCGCAGGGGGAAATGGGGGGAAAGCAGGGGAAAAAAGGGAAAAAAAAAAATAAAGGGCACTGTGCAGGCGCCGGAGACCACGCCTGCGGGAGGAAAGGGGACCGTGACATTCGGCTCTGCTGGCACCACGGCCACGTGACTGTCTGGTGGCTACAGATCAGTTTGGATTTTTAGTCAGAAAAGGGGGGTGGGGAAAAACCCTCTTCCGAACTCTTTGCGGAGATGAGGAAGGAGGCGGTGTGAGCCAGAGGAATGTCCAGGCCATGAGCGAGGGGCGGCCGACAGCGCTGAGCTCTCCCAGGGCTGTATGGCCAGCTTGAGGCAGCCACCTTCCTCCTCCCTCCTCTTCCTCCTGCCCAGCCGCTCCAACTCCGCTGCCCTTCCTCGTGTGCTGCTCCGTGGAGGAGGGGATCTATTTTACCCGTTCTGCCAAAAACAGGCCACGCGGTCTCAAATTAGGACCAAACCCCCTCTGGGCAAAGTTGCGTTACAGACAGGCGGCAGAGCCGCCGTCTTCGCCTGCACCTGGCTGTCCTCTCCTTCCCTAGCTCGGCTCCTGAAGCCAGACGGAGGCAGAGCTGCTGGGAACAAAACGCTGCTGTGTGCGGGGTGGGAAGGGGTTGCTTTCTGCGGCGGGATTTGGGGGATTTTGGGTCCGCAGGAGCCGTGTCCGTGCGGAAGCGGCGCCCCAGCCCGGCTGGCACGTTGCGGCGCGGGGCTCTTGTGCCTTAGCAGCAAAACCCTTTACCTCGTGGCCTGCGCCGTGCCGAAACCGGCGCGTTCGCCCGCTCTGTGCTCTCCTTCCGTGTACACCCTGTAATGCAGAGCGACCGGCCCAGCGCAGTCACTTCCTAAGCGTGATGGACGCGGCCGCTGCCCAATGGCAGCATGCAGGGCCCCGCGCCGGAGCGTTAACTCTCCTTGCACCCGAAAGAGGAGCTGCCCAGCTGCCCAGCTACACTGGGGAGGTGATACCCACGGGGGCACCCCCCATGCTGCAGGGCTGGGGCTCCTGGGAACCCTCGGGCACTCTCCCAGTTCTGCAGCCTCTCGGCCTCTCCGGGCACTTATTGCATTAAATGTTCTCGGCTCTATTGGAGCGAGCTTGTAGGCTGCCTTGAAAGTATTTCTAAAGCAGCAACAGAAATCCGCTAGCTGTTTATTTTTTCTCTGGCCCGTCAAGGACGGCGTGCTTTGTCATGCCTTATCTCGTCTCGGTGGCCGGCTTTGGCAATCTGTTGCAGCGAGGAGCGGAGAGCGGCGGTGCCTTCCGAAAGACCAAAACGGTGGAGCGGCTCCGGGCGCTCGCCTTTCCATCAACATTGCAGAATGATTAACGGCGTGGAATGCGCTGCAGAGTTTGGTATTGAAAAGCTCTCGCTGCGTTCGG